CTTGGTTTCCTCTCCTACAACAATTGCTGGTTCTCTTCTTAGGCCTGTTAACATGGGTTCTGGACTGAGGCAGAAGTGTTAAATATGGGGTTATGGAACATTCCTGAGGTTTTAAAGAATATTGTACTTGATATTGATTATTGTCCTTTAATAAATCTACCTGTCCTCAGAGACAAATGAAAAATTACTTCTTAAAGTATAAAAAATTAATTGCAATTCAATCTGGGGCCAGGAATATATTAAATAGTTACTAGACAAATATAAAGCATGTGTAGAACTGAATGTAGAAGACATGAGGCACAGAGGAGCATTTTCCAAACTCTGAGTGCCAGAAACCTTGCCCACCCACAAAGCCATGAAGTTACCCATATGTTAAATGTTTAAGCAGTTTACTAGTTTATAGGAGTGAATTTGCTATGTTAAAAAAATGAAATGAGACATTCTTTGGGGAGGGTAGGAAGATATTCTTACCTTCTTTTATGTATGCATGAAAAAAAAACTGTTAGAAATGGCATCCTAAGGGGGAAATATTGTAACTGTAATTTACAAGTAGTAAGTGAGTGAACAGTTCAAAAAGAGATCAAAGAATATCTACTTGATGTAGCTATAAGCAAATCTGCAGAACTCAACCTACATGAAATGTTTTGCTACATTTCAATGGATGCAAGACTATCCATGCTGTAAGTTTGTTTTATTAAGGCAAAAACATTTACATTTCTCTTGGGCTATCATGATCATTCTGTAACCCTCTCCTGTAGTTGTATAAACCTGCCCTGTCTTTAAAGTTAAAATTGATTGCTTTATTCTACCAACTGAATTTTTTCCTGGAACTCATAAGTAACTGGTGTATTTTAGAAGTTCAAAATTAGTAGCACAATGTAAAATACATGCTTAAATTTCATGGTATTGGTATTAGGAAATACATCTGCTAGAGATTTTCTTCTGTTAATAGTGATGCCATCAGACCCATCTAGTGAAAGAGAATTTTGAGATGTATCCTACTTCATGTTTGAATTTTGTCAACCTGCTAATACATTTCATAAGGTCAATATCCATATCTGTTTCTTTAAAAGTTGATTATGTCAACTAGTACAATGTTGAGCAGAGTCTTATGTTTTAGTACATTTCTTAAACTTTCCCTATAATTTAAGTACTGGTTACTTAATGGATAACATAGTCTGATGGTTTGATGGGATAATATAGGCAATTTGTAGATGTATAAATAGCTTGCCTAGAATTCAGTTTTATGCATTTCCTTAATTCATGGAATGTGTGGTGAATAGCATCGGCTTACTGATTTCTTTACATGCCATTATCTTTTATCTTTCCAAAGAACTAGGGTGTGTTGTGTCTAATAGAACTTTAGCTGGAGTGAAAGTCTTCCGGTCCTTGTTTGACATTTCGTGACTTGGTGAGAACTTTAAAAGACTATTGTGTTTTGTTTTTCAATTCACCATCTGTTTTTCCTACAATACATGTTTCTGAAAGAAAAAATTAGCTTCTATGTGATCAGTAAATAAGGGAGTTAGGTCTGTATATTTTGGAAGTGGCATCAGTTTATATGCAACTTTTCCTAGATAAGAACAGCCAGAAAAACAGGAATAAAATTATAACCGTGGAAGGAGAGGAAAAACCCCTCAGTTTAGCTGCTACACCGGAAGCAGAATCTATTCCAACTTTGTTTTTTAGTATGTTTGGTACATAAGTTTTTAAGACAAGTGCAGTAACATCTCTGTTTATTAATTTGGAAAGTATGTTCTGATAATCAGTCAAGTATTTTGTCTTGTGTATTCAAATCTATGTACTTAATAAGGTTATTATAATTTGTTTATTATGTACCTTTTGTCTTTATGTGAATTAATAGTTTTTGTCTTAAACTAAAATGAATCATATTGCTACAACCTTCATTTTTGGTAGTGTTTGCAAGGCATGTCTGTTCATCCTTCTATTTTGTGCTTTTCAGGATAGTTTGCTTTAGACATTTATCTTATAACTAGCATATTATTAGATTTTTTCCTTAAAAATCCAACCTGGTAAGTCTGTTACTTAGGAGATGGTTGAATATGCTCAATTTATTTGTATTACTTTTTTATTTGAGTTCTTTCCACAAGCTTATTTTGTTACTGCTGTTGGTGAATTGTTTTATTTGCTACTTTAATTTCTTCTTGTAATTTGCATTGATACAAATAATATTTTCCTCCCTCTGCAAGTTCAAAAACTATACAGTAGGGATGTATATAGCTTTAGTTAAATACCATTATTTTAAAAAATACATAAATCACTAAGTTAACTCAGTGTAAAATCATAAATTTCTGTCCTTTTTTTTTTAAAAACAAAATGCAGATTCAGCACACTTTATCTCTTGAGTTGTCTCATTCCAGTATAATTTATTCTTGTCGAGAGTTTTACTTCTACCACTTTTAAGCTCCCAAAGTTTTTTATTAACTTTAGGCTCTCTTTTAGGACAACCTTTTTTAGGAAAATTGAAAAATGAGCACCTGCTCCCAGCTCTGACTTTGCAGGGAGTTTCCCTTGGCAGGTGCACTTCCTCCTGAGCCAAGTTCAACGTCAGCATTGCAGTGCAGAGCTCCATTCCCAGTTGTATCCATCATTCCTTCTCCAATTAATACATTACAGCATTTCCATTCTTTAATTTCTGTGCATTTTAAATCTCTATGAAGGCTGTAATTACGAAGTAGAGTGGTTTTATCTTTTCTGTTTCTTGTGCCATTTTTTTCCACAAACCCTTTCTGCACCATTTATTTTACTGTAAGATTTTTCAGAACTGAAAATTTGTTAGGAAGACTTGTATTGAACAGGAAATGTCTTTTTGCCTCATTGAGTATCTAGGCTAACAGTAAGGTTTCCCAGATTGTGCATTGCAAACCTCTGGGACATTCCATTCATATAAAGTATGTTGGACATGGTGGCTCCTGGCATTTCCTGGTATCTAAATAGTACAGATAATTACATAGGTAAAAGAGTTAAAGAGTACTCTGAGGCTTGTGACACCAAACAGCAGTGTTGTTCCTTAGTCCAGAAGGTATGGGACTATGTAATGACCTGGCAGTATGGGCCCAGGAGAGAGTCTTAGTCTCAGCCAGTCGCCTAGCTTTAGATTCGTAACAGGACTGCAATTACATAAATTGCTTGGAGTTTGGGGAATTAGCCTGCTTTTTTTTTTTTTTTTTTTTTGGACAAGCCCACAGCCAGCAATTTTAGCTTCAGAAAGATATTTTAAACTCACAAGACTAGAAGAAGCCTGTGGCACTAGTTTGTGCAATGTCCTAAAAGACTACAGGACAGGAGAAGAGGCAGAGACGGACATGTCTCTTCAGCTTTAGCTCTGGAACTCTTAATTTCACATTAGTATGGGCCTGCCTTTTCCCCCCTCCATTTTTCCTCCACCTTGTGAAGGCGGAGGGAAGGAGATCACAGAAAGGTGGTGTGTGAGCCATCCTTCTAGAAGGCTTAAGCTACAAATAGGACCTAGTATCTTTTGAACAGCTGATAGCTGTTAGCTTCCAGGTCTCAGCTAGGGGAACACCTGGTTACAAGTTAAATTACCCTGAAGGAAAGTCTAATATTTATAGTTCATTCACAATTATTCCAGCCTGGCTGTGGTTCACCAGTCTCAAATTATATTTGCTTTAAGCATTGTTACCTGGTGAAAAATCTGAAATTTCATCTTTATAAGTTTTCAGGGAATCACTGCTAAGCGAGGGTGAGCTCAAGGTCACAGGGTCACATTGTCTTTTCTTCAACTATTCAGTAGATAGTGAAGCCTGAGATCTTTTTCTTTGTGCTTTTTATCTTCCAATTTTTCTTTTCTTGATTTTTTGTCTATTCTTTTGGTTCTTTAATGGATAGAGCATTTTTAAGGAAAAAAACGTCTTCATTGTCACTTTAGATTTTAGGAGGAAGTAACTATATGTGTATGTCTTCGGTTAACTATAATGAAAAGGTCCAAGAAATAGTGACTGAAGATCTACTGAATTGATATACATACATGTCCTCACATGACTTTCTTTTAAAATGGATTTTAAGTGCTTTTCCCTGGAAAAGCAAAATGCAAGGTGGTAGGTAGAAACTCATTCCCTTCTGTTACAGAAGGAACATAGTAAGATTTTGTTTTGTATTTTCTGTAGAGCGTGTTTTAAATGAGTGAAGAGAGGAAGCGGAGGGATTAGTGTAAGAGTTTCAAAGTGGAGTAGATTTTAAAATGCTTCTAGATAATAAATACATGTAACTGAACAAATTACAATTCTTGAGCATTTCTTAAATTTGGTATTGTGAAAGAATACAAATGTTTGTTTATTCTGTGTATGCAATTGTGTCTTATTTTGAGGCTCTTGTGGTTTAGATATTATATGTTCCACAAAAGATGAACAGTACCATAAAACTTCAATAATTTGAAAGAGGAAAACTTGCCCTGAGCTCCTTAAAATTTAAATGAAAAATAATATTTAAAAAATAGTCATTGGAATAATTTCAAGAAAAATACTATTTAACACTGCTAAAAATTATATATAAAATTATGGATTTTCTCTAAGAAATAGGTGATTTATTAGAATTTCAATTATTTGAAAATTCTTCTAAAAATATTTTTGACTGTAATAGGTAAGCACTCCCTTTAATTTTATTGATATTGGTAACTAATATATAATATTTCCATGTAGCCTAGTTTCAAATTATAAATTAAATTGAACAAATGGTTGAAATCATATATTCTTTATACATTTGACTCTGACACAAGTAGAAATAGAATATTAGCATTTTGTATTTTTCAACATTGTGTTCTCAGTGACTGTTTACTGCCTTTATAAAGGAGGATTCATCAATTTTAATAGCATTTATGGTTGAAATGCATATCTAGAAATTAATACAAACTGATAAAAATTACAATAATATATTTGTGTTTGAGCTTCTTTAATGTTATATTTTTCAAAGGAAAATGAAAGGAATGGTATTCTAATGTTACCTTTTGTATTATTTTGCAGGTATATTTTCTTGATTATAAATCAGTACCTTTTGATGAGAAAATGGAAAGCCTAATACAGATCAGGGAATATGCAAAGGAAGTGAAAAAAAGAAATATTTTATTATCTGGTCTTCTTATATATTTCCCACAGGTAAGTAAAATTTTGTGTTCTGTAGACTATAGTTTTAATGGAGGGAACCTGATTTTTTAAAAGCAAAGATACATTAATGATAAGAAAAATTTTGGCTGGAAAATTGTCTGTGTTCTCTCATAGGTAGAACCTCTCTTGAGGGAAAAATAAAATCAAAACAAGTGTCCTGATGAAGGAAAATAAAGTGAAATTGGTGAATATCTTATACTAGGTAGCCCACATGGGGTTGCCAGATTTATTAAATAAAAAAATACAGAATGCCTGGCTAAATTTGAATTTCAGATAAACAATAAATTATTTTAAGTATGTCCGAAATTTGCAATTTGCAATTAGAAATTCAAATTGAACTAGAGTTTTGTATTTAACTGAGTTCAGAATGCAGCCATTTGTATAATTTGAAATGGCTTGTTTCTTTTATGTTGTGGTAAAGATGTTGGTGATCAGGTTTTTAATTACTTGAAAGCGGTGCTTGACATTCATATTATAAGAGGGCATGCTATTTAGAGAAAAATTCTTATTGTCACTCTATTAATAGCAGAACGTTAAGCTGAAGGCAAAATGAATTAGCATTATAGAGTCTTAGTGCAAAGAAATGCTATTTAAATCAAACTATTTGGAGACTGTGTTAGGGAAGATGGATTTGCCCTTTGTGCATAGATACCTTTTATTGAAATTGCAGAATGCTTTGTAGTGTCTTCGAGGTACCCCATAAGAATCAAGAAAGTCGAAAAGTCAATGGGGTTTTTATTGGTCTGGAATAAAAGTGATTTGTACTGACCAAGGAATGTATTGTTGATGAATAACAGTTATTATTTGTGAAATATTTAAGGTACCCTTTTAGCCTGAAGATAACAACATTTCTTTTGAAACAAATGGATTTTAATTAAGTATAAGGACCATCTTTTAGCCAGTTCCTTGGTTTTCTTTGAGGTGGTTTTCTGTGCTCCCATAATATAGAAGTATGGACTCTGGTTAGTCATCAAGAATGAGGCAAAGCTGAATTTACTTAGGATCATGGAAGTATAATATATTAGCATTGTAGGGGCTTTTGAAGTCAGGGCAGCCAAGGCCTGAAGAGATACACTTACTTGCCCAAGAACAATACATAACTGGAAGAGTAAGAATAAGAACTCAGGTCTGTATCTTTGTTCAAGAATATTCCATCTTTGGGGCGCCTGGGTGGCTCAGTCATTAAGCATCTGCCTTCAGCTCAGGTCATGGTCCTAGCATCCTGGGATCGAGCCCCACATTGGGCTCCCTGCTCTGTGGGAAGCCTGCTTCTCCCTCTCCCACTTCCCTTTCTTGTGTTCCCTCTCTTGCTGTGTCTCTCTGTGTCAAATAAATAAATAAAATCTTTAAAAAAGTATTCCTTCTTCAGTAGATTGTCTTTGGTTGTATTCCAGATTATTGTGGTTGGAAAAATCAGTTATTTCTCTTGTGCCATGCGAAGGAGTCATGGATGCACACTACTCATGCTACACTATGTAGTTATAAAAATAGTTCATTGAGAAAAATCTCAAAAGCTAAGAAATGGAAGAGCACATACAGTCCCTGGGACTTTATTTTTCCTGTATTTTAGGCTAAACACAAAGGGTCTGTATGCACCCTAGTTGATATTCCAGTGGGAGAGTATGGTCCAAATGAAATATAGCATGCCTAGTGAGATGCGAATTTTAGATAAACAATAATTTTTAGTACAAGTATATCTGAAATATTACAGGAAACATACTTGCACTAAAATTCTTTGTTATCTTACATGAAATTCAGTGTAACTGGGCACCTTGTGTTTTTATTTCCTAAATCTGACAACTGTTGTGGAGTTCATATTTGCAACAAAATTGTTCATTTCTCCAGACCTGGCATTCTCTCCCCATGAATGCCATGGAGTTGCATATCTACATGACTCTGTACCTGTGACTGGAAAAGTGGTCTTGTTGAAAAGGAGGAGCTTTTGGAGCCTATACTTTGCAGCTGACCATTATTATTTTGAGTAAATTTGGACCTGTTAAGCAATCTGTCTACTTAGCTATCAAGACTGTATAGAAAATGACCCTGCTAAGCCTTCAAAATATGTCTCTCATCATTTTAAGAAGCAAAGATAGCTTACTTGAATGTTGCTTTTTTCTTAAAAATAAAATAGTGAAGATGTCTGAAATGTGTAAGAATGTTTAAAATATAGGGTTTACTTTTGTCCTTAAAGACACAGGTGCCATTTGACTCTTACTAGGCCAGGACATGTCCAGAGCAGAATTCCACCTTAAAGAGCATTTACCAAAGGATTCTGCGATGTTCATTAGATAGGCCGTTAAAGAACTATGGTTAAACAATTGGGGAGGCATCGGTGAATAGAGTTAAACAGATGTCTTCCACGGAGGGCTTCTCGCAAATTCTTAATAAGCTGATGAACATTTCGTATCTGCAAATTGGGGACAAGGGGGATATCATTTTCCATTTTCTACTGTAGCCCTTTAAACATAGGCAACTCTGAGGCTAATACTCTCTAAATGAAACTTTGGGATACAGTCCTCATGAATAGGCCCTACATAAAGAAACCACTACCTCTGAACAGTCTTTCACTTTTTTTTTTTTTTTTTTTTTTTACTTTTACCTTTTACTTCAGTACTAATTTTTTGACTTAGTTAAATTAGTATCTTTAATTTTCAGGGCCTATTTGACAAACATTTTATCAATACTAAGAACATGAAGATTACTAAGGTAAAGCTTCTGTCACTATTAAGTGAGAAGAGTGTCGGTTTGTGCTTTCCAAGGTGCTGTCAGATACAGTTTTTTATAGTGTTCATACATTGGACTTTGTTCCCTAAACCAATCCATCGCTGTGATAGCCATTAGGGTGTTGTTGTAGACAGTTAATGTGTTTCCTTTTCAGTCTCTGATCAGTGAAATGAAGAACAGTGAAATCTGGAAAGATTTTTAACCATTTTTCATAAGACATAGCCTCAGTTGATTGGTGACTCCTCCTTGGATGAGACAATGTATTGGCTTCATTGTCTATGCTAGACATACGGTCTTTCTAGTTTAAAGAAGACCTGCACTCTTATGTATGTAGTATCTCTGGTAATGGGGATGGTCTGGACGGCTCGATTGCTCCTTCACAGTGGTGATGTATATGATATTTATAGTTAAATAGGACCACATAAGCTGCGGTTAAGTCTCTATTTGTGTTTTTGTAGAGTTCTACACACATGTAGGACTTTCTGTGTTTGGTGAATTTCAACTTATTAGTTACATTTCAGTCCTTTATCTTTTTGGAATTATAATAAAGCCTCTGATTAATTAGTCACACTTTCTTCATAATGAGTAATTCCAAATTGTGTACACCTTTAAGGAAGAAATTGATTTGGAAAAGGATAAGAATTCCTTCTTGAATATCTCTAAATCTTCTGCAGTGTTACCCATGATCAATTATTGATAATTCTTTGATAATTCAATTACCAACAAATGCATCTAATCGTATAATGTTTCAACTCCATTTCTCCATATATTCTTAACTGATATAAGAAATTTCAACAGATCCTTTACTTAACTCTAGATATGCTCCACATGTGTGCATTTTTTTTTTCTGGTCAAAGACATTATTTGTGAAATTACTGAATATGCTATTTCCTTAGCTATATCAGTGTAGTAAAGCACAAATTAACTTTTTCCAAAATTGACTTTAAAATATTTTGCTGGCCTCAAAAAATTAATCATTTAAAATAGATTCTTTATGGGTAGCTTAATCTTAGACTTCTGGATCAAGTGGCTGGCTTGACCATTTATGTATAGTATAAAGTTTCCTGACTTTATTATCTAGTGCTCAATTTCTCAAGTTGTAAATAAATAAAGACTGGAAATTTATGCTCTAGACTAGAAATGTAGCATAAAGTTTGCCCTTATAATTTATTAGATGAATTTAAATCAAGTCCTATTCCTCTTTCTAAAATAACTCTACAAACATAACTATGAATAATTAAAAACCAGGTTTTATAGCTTAATCCACATAAAGGATCTTAGTCCCTTTTTAAGTATTCTTTTAAATTTATGTGTAAAATATTACTCTTCATCCTATTATTCTAAGTTTGTGATGCAAGTCATCACTGAAGGCTGTGATACACAATGATGTATTTTGGGAACCTGTTCTAATTATTTGCAAATCTGTATCTGATGATAAAGTAGTGAAGTTATAGACACCTAATATTTCTGGCATGAACTGTTCAAGCCCATAGTTTAGAGCTTTCAGTTTTAATTTTGCTGAAGTCTACAATATTTTTATCCTGACTTTGTGTGTGTGTATATGTGTGTGGTGTTTTTTTAAGATTTTATTTATTTGACAGCACTAGTAGGCAGAGTGGGAGGGAGAGGGAGAAGCAGGCTCTCCACTGAACAGGGAGCCCGATGCGGGGCCCAATCCCAGGACCTTGGCATCATGACCAGAGCCGAAGGCAGACGCTTAACTGACTGAGCCACCCAGGTGTCCCATGACTTTGTTTTATAAGACAGGCATTTACAAGTATATATTTTTTAAAAAAAATATTTCTTCTGATGAATTGGTAATATTATGTAAACTGTTTTCCTGAGTTCTGTGAGCCATTCTAACAAATTATCAAATGCAAAGAGGAGAGGTTTGGGATCCCCTGATCTATATATACCTGTTGGTTAGTAGTACAGATGGCTCTGGATTGCCATATGAACTGGAAGACAATCTTGTGTGACTGAACCCTTAACCTGTATGTTCTGTGCTAACTCCAGGTAGCTAGTGTCAGAATTGTTCAGTGGGGAAAAAATAAAAGTCCACACATTTGGTGCCAGAGATGTTGAGAGTAGAAAACAGTTTCTCATTTGGTCAGTATATAACTTGATATATCTGTTATCTACTCACTACCACTAGAGATCTTGCAAATTATGGACATTCTTTCAAGCTTAAGTCCCTAGTGAAAATGTTGTGAATCTGAGCTCCCAGCAAATTAACAATGGATGTGTAGTATGAAAAATAAACTTTG